TTTGCTCCGTGCACACCCCACCCGTGCCGAGGCTCCGAGGGCCCGCTCCCGGAGCGGGAGAGGAGGATAAATCCGCATCCCTTAATCCCGGGCGGCTGTGGCGGGGCGGGCAGTGGGAGCGTCAGGGTGACCTGGCGTGCTCCCTCTGGAATGCTGGCACAGGAGCAGGGAGCAGAGGGGACCGACCCCCGCCGGCACACGGGGGTGGTGCTGGATGCACCCAGCACTTGGGAATGTCGTGGTGCTGGCCCTGGATGCACCCAGCACTTGGGAATGTCGTGGTGCTGGCCCTGGATGCACCCAGCACTTGGGAATGTCGCAGCACATCGCTGAGGACAGGGAGGAGCTCGTCCCCAGGAGCCTCTGGGAAGCACCGTTGGGATTTTTGCAGAGCCAGGACCAGCCCAGCTCCATGCTTGGAGATGTGCTGGTCCAGCTGCTTTCCCCCATCCAGGGAGGAGCAGGGATGCAGAGAGCTGGGCAGCCACCAGCTCCAGCTCTGTCCTGCTTGTGCCACCAGCTTTGATCCATGAGGAATTTCCCATCTCCCCGGGTGCCCCAAACTCCGGTGCCCAGGCAAGGAGGATCCCAGCTCTCAGCACTGGCACAGTCAGGATGGATATAAACATTGGAAGGCTCCTGCCTCCCCTGGTTGTTGGGCTCCTCACCACATCATACCCACAGTGGAGCAGTGCAAAAGGCCCCCCCAAAATCCCTGTTCCCCCAAATCTGGGCCCTGGGACACTGTGCCCTGTCCCACAGGGCCCCAAAGGGACAGTGGGCAGCTCAGATCCCCCCTGCACAGCTCTGTGATGCTGATCCACCTCACCCTCTCCTGACCTGAGCATTTTCATGGAGGCTGAGCCCAAGTCCAGGTCTCTGGAGCACCTGGAGGGGGTCCTGCAGGTGAGGAACCAGGAGCAGAGCAACCCCAGACAGCTCAGGAGAGCCAAGGCGAGCCCTGACTCCTCACACCCTGGGTTGTTGCTGAGCATTCCCATGCCCTGGGTTGTTGCTGAGCATTCCCATGCCCTGGGTTGTTGCTGAGCATTCCCTGTGCCCTGGGTTGTTGCTGAGCATTCCCCATGCCCTGGGTTGTTGCTGAGCATTCCCTGTGCCCTGGGTTGTTGCTGAGCATTCCCATGCCCTGGGTTGTTGCTGAGCATTCCCCATGCCCTGGGTTGTTGCTGAGCATTCCCCATGCCCTGGGTTGTTGCTGAGCATTCCATGCCCTGGGTTGTTGCTGAGCACAGCCCCCTGGCAGCCTGGCTGCCCCTCTGCTCCCTGGGCTCCCTGCAGTGTCCCATCCCCACCCTGCTCCCAGCTCTGCCTCCAAGGTCCCCTCTCAGGACTTCGAGGCAAAGGAGTCCCAGTAAGTGATGGGGCTGAGGGGAAGGGGCCTTCCTGGCGTGGGAGAGGCCGAGGTGGGGCTGCCCTCCAGCAGTGGGGAAGGTGAGGGGTTAATGTCCCCCCCTGGGGACTCTCAGTGTCCCCTCAGGACCTCCTGCCATCCCAGGGAGTTGGCTGGAGGCAGCAGGCCAGATCCATTCCCCGGAATGTGCCGCCTGCTCCCCAGGAGCTGCTTCCCAAGGGACTGTCCCCTGGGGCGAGCGCAGGCCCTGGGGCTGCAGAGGACACCCTGAGCTGTCTCAGGAAGGTTTTGTCCCCTCTCCAAGACCATTCCCCGTGCACAGGGGGGACTGAACTCCCACACCTCCCCCCTCGGACTCACAGCGAGGGCTCCAAAGGGAAGGAGGTGTCTGAGCTGGCTGCGGCTCAGGAGAACCTCCAGGCTTTCCCACCGACACGAGGTGCAACTCAGAGCAGCTCCAGGCGCCCAAAGGCACAAGCTAAACCCCGCATCCCGCAGCCCGAGGCCTCAGCGGAGGCTCCCGCCCGCCCCAGGGCCGGTCCTTACCTGCGGGAGGGCGGAGTTGAGCTGCCTCTGGAGCTGGTCCCGCTCCCGGAGCGTCTCCTGCAGGCGGCTCTGGGTCACCGACAGCGTCTCGCGCGTCTCCCGCAGCGTGTCCAGCAGCTTGTCCCTCTCGTCCAGCATGTTCACCATCAGCTGCTC